AGGTCCAATGTCCATCTGCTACCTTTATACTAAACCTATAAATATATGCACATAGATCTATTTCCCTATCCTCATATATAAGTATATTTACATATGTACATGCCTTTATTTAGACCTCGATAAATGCTCATTGTCTCCTAGCTCTTTCCTCTATTTCCTTTTACTTTCCTCTTGTCCCACTACCATGCTCAACCTTCATTTGGGATTCAGTAATTCCTCTCCGTTATATTACCTTTGATCATGCCCTACCAGGCCTCCTACACCATTCTCACCACCGATTTGGATCACTTGTTTTTCCCTTGTCCCTAGGTTTGCTAACACCACTTCCATTTCTCCCACCTCCCCTTCTCCCATGTCCCCCCAGAATTGTCAGCCCCATTGTTTTCTCCTCAGATTGTTCTTATTATTGTTCTCCAGCCTATCTTATTTAGACAGACCTGCAGAGATAATAACATGCACAAAACAAGACAGAGCAAAACAAAACAACAACAAAAAGCCAATGATAAAAACAAAAAACAAAAGCCTGCATTTAGTTCAAGGACTGTTTGTTGACCTTTTGGAGTGTTTTCCTGGTCAAGTGATGGGGTGCTAATCCCTGGCCCCGAAGCTGTTTTTGGTATTCCCTGGGGACTTCCTTGCTCTGTTTCCCTTGCTGTTCTAATGGGTAAAAATTTTAAAAACACACACATCTCAAAACCAAACCAAAAATCACTGCCTTAAAGTTAATTACAACATGTAGCCACCTTATATGACAGAGTTGAACTATCCCTTTGAGTTTTGGAGGTTTAATTTTAAATAGTTTTATTTTGATATTTGGTTTAAGCTTTATTTTCTTACAAATTTTTGCTTAAGTACTTCAATTTCTATTTAAAAACAAGTATAACAAGGACCCCATTAGTGCTTTTAACATAGTATATCCCTCAACTTACTTAAAGTTCCCACTTATTATTAATAAAAAAACTATTTATTGACATATGCTTCCTGCATGATACAATCCAATGGTTTAAATGTATTTTAAAAAGTTGTGCAATCATTACCAAAATCAGTTTTGGATAATTTTCTTCATTCTTGTATCCATTATTATTAGTTCCCCAGTTCCCCTCCAATCTTCCCTGTCGTAACCCTACAAATCTATGAATCTAGTTACTGTCTTTATAGATTTACCTATCCAAGATTTCATATAAAGGAAAGTGTACTCCCCTCCCCCAAAACAAAACAAAAACCTTCATCAAAAACAAACAAAACACATCCACTTCAATGCAAAAGAATGTAAAAAATAATTAAAATGATACAAGTGACAAATGGGTCAAAAGGGAAACCACATGACAAGAAGTTACATTTAAAGCTAGCAGTATCTGCATTCTGGATACAAAACTATTGACATGTCTGCTCAAAGGTCCAAGGGAGTTCAAAGGAGACAATCCGCAGGAGGACTCTGCAATCGATTTGGGGCTTTCACTGTCATCCATGCCCTTCTTCAAATCGGAGGCACAGAATTTGAGCTTTCATCAATTCTTTCCTCTGGTTTTGTATTTTATTATTTACAACCCTTTGATCACATAGGTTGATGTGCTCCTTCCATGTGGACTTAGCTTAGATGGATGCTTATTTTCAGACAAGCCTTTAAGGCCCAAGGTTCTATTCTTCCTGATAGCCAGGTGCCTTCTGATTTTTTTCACCACATTTTGCAATAGTACTCATATCTTCAGTGATCATGTCATGAGGGCAAGTATCCAGCTACAGCATTAGAACTAATTCCTCTTAAATCAGGACTTGTAAACTCAAAAATCCATTCATATATCTAATATGTGTGTGTGTGCATTCTACCTCGAAAGTGGACAGGCAAAAATATCAGCTTCTTGAGAAATAATATAGATAACTTACAGGGGACAGTAGGTACTTCTAATAATAGTATAATTAGTTTAGCCAGTTGTTTAGGTGGATATTTTATAGTGAGAAAAAGGAAAATATACATGGATAGGAAAGCCTTTTAATTTAAAATGCATGATATGTTTACTTAAACAGGCTGAAAAGTTAAGTGACTGAACACTGCTTGAAAAAAAAGTTAGACAAATGATTTATTAGATTTTTTTTAAAGTTAGAAAAGACAAAAAGTTTATAATGTACATTTACTGAAGCAAAACTATACCTGTAGAGATATCCCTGAAAGCAAAGAAAGTATGACAAAAGCAAATATATGTTTGTCATATGTTGTCAGCTATTGTGCAACTTGAAAGCAGGAGATTTGGATCGAAGTCCAATGATTTCCAAGACCATAGTGATGAGATAGCAGTCATCACCTTCTTACCCTATGGTGTTTCAGCTTTAAGTCCAAAAGCGTTTTTCAGTTCCTTTAATCTGCAACAGATATGTGTTAAATAAAGTCCAATTCATTTAGTCATATCCTTCTGATATGGCCTATCATAGAAGCTTTCCATTTTTACAGAAGCAGACAGCTTCATCTTTCTCCTGCACAGCAACTGATGGGTTTTAACTGCTGATCTTGTCATTAGCAGCTCAATTCATAGTCTGCTATGCCAAAGTTCAATAAATAAAACATCCATTTAGAAAACATGCATGAAACAGATAAAAATATAATGGAAAAATAGGTTCCCAACTGGCAATATACAACTTATATGACACTGACTCACACTTTCTCCAGAGACAGGGCTCAAGAATCTACAGGTTTAACAAGCACCCCTGCCCCCATGGCCCAAGTAATTCTTAAACAAACTAAAATTTGAGAACCACTATATTAGGTGCTCAATATATGCCTCTTACATTAAATATGAAAACTTAAGGACACAGGTAGAGTGCTTGAATTTCCTTGCTGTCCCAAGGGTATAAGTCAGCAAAATACATATATCTGAAGGAGTTTACAAGGATTTGCAAAGAAGAATAAAAGACAAATTACCCTGAAGCAGGGAACTGATAGAGAGGCCTGAGGGGCCGGCCCCATTACCAACTAAGTGGACAGCACCACCCTCACCCCCAAGAAGAATTCACTTCAGAGGACAGCACTGAAGCTACAGCTCAAGGAGAGGGACTTGTCTGATCAGAGCACACAGGAGGCAATGAGGGGGGAGGGGAAAAAAGAGTGAAGCACATCCTGTCTCACCAAGCCCTGGGGACAATGTTTCTGCTCAGAGCAGCAATGCACAGAGATGACCACAGAGCTGGCCTCACCACGGGACACAGCATTCCTCATTGACCCATAGCACCATGGTGGACAACACTAGAGACACACGGTGAGAATTATGCCTGCCCTGAGCCCACTACACCAAAGCGAACCACTGGGGGTGTGCAGTAGAGCAGCTGGGCGAGCAGAGAAATGAAGTCCCCAGGGAATGCCAGGGATAGATGTGGGGCCAGGGCATGGCACCCCATCAAACTCGACTGGAAAGCACTCATAAAGGACAACAAATAGACTTTGAACTATTTATAGGATTTTTTTGTTGTTGTTTTAGTTGTAGCTATTGTTTTATTTACTATTGTTGCTTCATTGTACTTGGTCTTGTGATGGTGCATATTGTTGTCACTGCATGTCCAGCTGGAAGGGATAGGCGGGATAAACAAGCTGGAAAACAGAAAAACAGGATGACAGTTCCGGGGGAAGGGGGGA